TCAATACCGCGACACCGTTCTATCCCAGTCACCTAAGACGTCAACAGTAAACAAGTTTTTGTCTACCCCAAATATGAATTCAGCAAACCCACACTGGAACCAACCGCTGTTAATCACCCGTTTTTATCTTCACGCCGCCGTTTTCAAATAATTAGCTCATTAACATCATTATTCGAAACTTGAAATTTAAAAAAAATTTATGAACCTAATTATTTCATTTTGTTTTTATATATTGTTATATTTATATCCTATCAAAGATTCAATTTAATTATTTCCAAAAATTCGACAACACACAAATAAGTTTAACTTTCCATAATTTTAATCATTATATCATCAATCTGACAAACTTTTTTTTCACAGTTACTTATAACAGTAGTTACACGTCACCAACCAAACTTTTAAATCTATGATACTACGATATGCAAAAATTTTAGTTTATCCGTAACTATTTTGTTTAATGTTTAATTACTTTATTTCAATTGTTTATAATATGTTGATTTTACAAAGGTTTATCACACATGCTGACATTTATTTTAGGCCACATTTATAAATAACTTTTAATTGGTTTTAATGGTTTAATATTTTTTATAATTCAATTCAATAATTAAATTAAATAATTAATTCATGTCAGCCAAATCATGGACTTAAATAAATATGAGTCTGATAAATTAATTACGTCTTGTTGAACTTTTATTTAAAAAGCAAATAACTACAAATTGGGGTATTATTTTTAATCGAACATGTCTTTCTGAAAATCTTGCACCAAATTATATATATGTATATATAGAGCGAGAGAGTGTTTATATATCGCTTTTTGAATGAAGTCTTTCAAAAGCGCCCCCAGTTTATCTTACTATCGTGGAGTTGGTTGGAACACCTCATGGAGTTATGATTCAACATCGTTTCTTTTGAATGACACTCTGGTCTTACTCAGCTGTCGACCCACAGACCTCCGTTGCCTGCCAGGTACTCCGTGCATCGACGCAGAGGCTGAAGTGGACTGGAATGGTGCTGCCGTCAGTTACAATTTGTTGTGATGTCTTCGGCTTGCTTTGCAACTTTTTTTTTAGTGCTATGATAAAGTGATAAACTGTGTTATTGTAGTTGTTGTTGTTGTTGCCTTGTTTTTTTGTTGGTGGTAGTGATGATGATGATGATGCTGTTGATATCGTCAGTTGTGTCTCTTTGTTGAAGAATAATTTTGTATTAAGAATGGGGATGGCTCGTTCATCTTATTATCTGGATCTTCCTACTGTTCTACACACACCCAGACACGCAAACGATGAAAAGATTTTACTAAAAAATTTGAAGGTAGATAGAATTGAACTTATGATTAAGCAAAGTGAGTTGTGGTTACGATAGGAACCGAGTAAAATGGATTATCAAATTAAAACTATGAAAGAAATTTATTATAGATTGGAAGGAACTTCTCAGCTGTTTTCCCTTACAGCACCTCGGGTGATTTATGATATATTAAAATTCCTCTCATACTTTCCTCTTTCGATGTTAACAACCTCCTTCTTTTAACATCTTCAGTTTTTTGTTTTTCTGAAAATTATTTTCTCTTCTGTTAATTTTTTTGAATTTTTTTGAATTCTTTTAAAATGTCTTCAGTAGTTTCGGGTGACTGCCATTTAAATGTTTTCATTAGTTTGGCTTATTGAATTTTTATGTATGCT